AGTTAGAATTGGGTGTTTTTGGCATTTTGGACTTTGCCATTCTAATGGTTTCTTTTAGGTTTCTGTTCCCTGATGAGCTATGATTCTGGCCATGTTTTCATATGTGTGTTTCTTACCTGTCCATTTTGGTGAAGTGTCTTTTCAGATTTTGTGCTTATTTTTAAAATTGGATAATTTATGTATTAGTTACTTTCCTTTCACTGGGACAAAATACCTGTCATGTACAAATAAAAGGAGGAAAGATTCATTTGGGCTTATGGTTTCAGTGGGTCAGTCCAAGACTGGCTGACTCCAAGGCAAAAGCAACATGGCGGACGCCTACAGCTGAGGAAAGCTGCCAACCCACAACAGCCAGAAACAGATTGTAAAGGGCAGAACTGGGGACAAGAACAGACAGTTCCAGGTCATGCCCCCTGTGATCCACCTCCTTCAGCCACCTAACAGCATATTTCAACTATGATGAATACAGTGCCCCTATGATCCACTTACCTTCTGAATGTCCCATCTATGAACATATGAGACTTTGGAGCACATTTTAGATGTAAATCCTAACCATTGATTTTTTTGTCTTTTACTGGGAGAGGTTTTTTTCAATCTCATCATGTAGTTCAGGCTAGCTTTGAACTCACTGTGTAGCCCTGGCTGGCCTCAAGCTTGTGGAGATTCTCCTGCCTCAGCCTCCCAAGTGCTGGGATTTACAGGAATGTGCCACCACACTGCGGGGGGGGGGCACTCATTTTCTAATTGTTGAGGCTAAAGGATTCTTTGTATGTTCTGAACAACAGTCACTTATGAGATGTCTATTTTGCAAATATTTTTCCTAATCTGTGGCTTTCCTTTTAAATTCCCTTAATGTCTTTCATAGATTGTAAGCTTTTAAAATTTTAATCTCATTGTTTTATTTAATTTTATTATTATTATTATTACTGGATTTTTGAAACAGGGTCTCACTGTTTTTGTGACCTCAAAATCATGATCCTCCTGGCTCAGCAGCCTGAGTGCTGGGATTGTAGATGTATACTAACTACCATGCTGAGCTCCAGAAGTTTTTTATTTTAGTGAAACTCAGCTTAATAGTTTTTATTCCATTATTTACTATTAATTACTTTTATTGTTATATTTAAAAACTCATTGCTGACGCAAGATTTTCTCCTGTGTTATCTAAAATTTTATAATTTTGCATTAATGGTTGAATCTATTCGTATCGAACAATTTTTGTGACACGTGTAAACTTTGTCTAGCTTGTTTTGTTTTGTTTTGCTGGTGGATGTCCCCTTGTTCAAGCATCCTTTGTTGAAAAGACAGTCTTTTGTTCATTGTATGACCTTTGTTCCTTTAGCGAAGATGAGTTAGATGACCATATTTGTGTGGGCCTGTTTGTGGGCCTTCATTGTTATATTTGCTGATATTTCTCCGGTATCAGGCTGTCTTGATTGTGTAGTTTTATATAAGTTTTGATGTAGGAAAGTATTAGTTCTTCGGTTATATCCTTCAGAGTCGTGTTGCCAGTGTTTGGGTCGTTTGTCTTCCCATGTAAGGTTTAGAATTAATTATTCAGCATCCACTAAATAGTTTGCTGTAATTTTGATTGAAAGTTCATTGAGTCTATACCATAAGCAAATGTGAGATTTTTTGTGTTCACACTATTTCCTAGTGTATGGATTGCATTACACAAATTTAGTAAGCAGAAGTAGAACTGATTATATGCAGATACAGATACATTGTTTCCTGACCCATTTGAAATGAGTTGTGGATATAAGACTACACTCCTAAATATTTGAGAATAAATCTCCTTACAAATCTACAGTATTGCTACGACCCCTGGGGTAATTAACACTGATTCATCAACTACCAGTCTTTATCAAAGCTGTGGGTTTTTTTCCTTTTATTTTTTAATGTCCTCCCAGTATATGTGAGGCACTGTGCCATATTTGAATCTGAAGACAAACAGAGGCCTTACTTTTCAGAAGTTCACAGGCTTCAAAAAGACGTCAGAGACACTATAATAGTTGAGATAAGAGCCACAGCTGCATTACAAGAATATGTGAGTTGCAGTGTGCTTTTGGAGGGATGAGAATGACTTCCCAGAGTGGTGTTCTAGAGTCTGTGCCCACGCCTATGAGTCACCTTCCTCCTGATAGCCATTTTCTCAGCCCACGTGGGCTTGTGTCCATTTACAGGTGACGGACACAGCAGCCAGGATATCATTTCCTCTCTCAGTTCTTCTGTTTCTGTGCAGCAGGGCTCACCAGGCACAGAGGAGGAAGGAGGAGGGCTTTGGGGGACTCTGGCCTCTAGGTCGGCCGTGTTAAGGTGACCTGGGTTTTGCGGCAAATATGAAGGATCCAAACCCACTGTGGCTGCTCATGATGGGTTTCTTTTTTATGTGGCTCTCAGGACATAGCTAGCCAAGGATTAAAATACAGACTCAGATCCTAAAAGCCCCTTGTGCTCTGCCCCTCTCCCCATCTTTCTGCTGTCTCTCTAATTCTGGGACCTGGGTTCATGGTAGCTTATGGCTGTATCATTCTTTCCGTGTGTCAGCACCTTCACATTCCAGGTGAGGGTAGAGAAAGGAACAATGTGCTCCTTGGCTTTTGTGTACATGCTGGAAATTATCCACCTCACTTCTGTCCACACTGGAGTTTATTCACGGAGCCATGCCTGCACGCAGGAAGGCACTGGGAACTATAGGCTTCATTTGGATGGCCATAGACCACGCTAAAAATAGGGAGTTCTGTGTGAGAACGGAAGAGAGCGCATTGAGAGGCAACCTGCAGCCCTGCTATCCTAGCAATTTTATTTCACAACAACAAAAAAAGGCTTCTGTAAAATTAGTGCCTTAAGATGCTCCATGAAAACAGTGTGTTAACCAGATGCTTTCGGGAAACATTAAACGATGTGTTGATCTCATCTAGGTTCTCAGTACAGGGTGCTATATTGATAGTTCTGAGGAATTCTAGAGTAAAGGTATGCATCTGTCTTTGTTTAACCTAAGATAACCCAGTGGAAACACCCTTTTTACAACATTGTATTTATTTTGCTTTTTTTTTCAGACTTTCCATTACACTAGCTTTAGAATTACTGACAATTCCTTTGCACTGAGGCAAATGTTTGAAAAGCCATTCTAGGCTCTTAAACTAGGGATGTAGTCAGAGGAAATGTGTGCATATTGTGTGAGTCAAGGTTCACTCAGAGAAACAGAACAAGCAAGGGAAGTGGTTGTCATGGGGACTTGATCTTACATAATTGTGGGAGCTGCATGTAAAAACTCAGTGATCCTCATGTCTGATGATGGGACTCATAATCTGCTTGGCGGATTGTTCCAGAGGAAGAATCAAGTTGGGAAGAAGCTGGAAGTCATATGATGAATGGGAACCCTGAATTGATCCATCACTGCCTCTGACTTCTGTGATGTAGGAGAAGCTGGCGTCATTATGGAATTGATCATAATGCAGCTCAGCAGGCAGAGAAGCTGAAGAAGGACCAAGGGGAAGATGGCTTCAGCATCAGTAGGCAGAGCTGCTGCCCCTCACCTCTGCTGAGATTATGATAAGCAACCCTGCAGGTGGCTGCTCGATGCTCCTGTGAGCACCTCCCAGATATAAACACAACTCAGGACCTCATGCTTGCAAGGCAGGCACTGTGCCACTGAACTATATCCCCAGCCATGGTTTTGTTTTAATTAATAAGTTTGTTGGAATCATTCTTCTTTTGAAAAGAAACTGTTTGAAAGTGCCTTGGACTGTCCGTATGGATTGGCTAGTCCTCTGTGGTCTGGTGTGTCAGGGAGATGGTGGTGTCTGTGTACTGTGTTTGCTGATGCCCTAAACAGTCATCTGAAAGCACCGTTAGCTGGGATTATAAATGGTGATTTAGTGCCCAGACAATAGGAATTTAGTGTTAATAAATTTGCTGAAAAATGAAATATTTCAAGTAGCATAGTGTTCAGTTTTGAGTTTTTTGAATTCACATGAAAACAATAAGGACTATTCTACAGAGGTCTCAATCTCCTCTGGGCTTCATCTCTATACATATCTGTATGTACAGCCTTCAGATTCCCCCAGGTTGGAGGATCGGATACTGAAATTCCACCTTACCCTGGATCCACATAGCTATCAATGGCTGTTCTTTTTCTGTAGCTTCTTATTAATCTTTGGTCTGTAATTTTTTTGTGAATAGGGCTTGTGTCTTTTACTTTGTATCTCCAACATCTAGCTCAATAAAAACTCAGTGATCCGTGACTGAATCCCCAAATTCTGGAAGCCAAGATAGTTGACCACTGGAGAATGTGCCGGTGTCTGGGGAAAGAAAGAAAGGGAGGCAGAGCTGCACTGACCAGGGAAGCAGAAGAGATCCAAAATAATATTCTACCAGGGAAACCAAGGAAAAGGAGGAGGAGTACTTGAGGAATCAGCACATACCTTGTCGAGGCAAATGACCCTGAGAATTTTTTTTAATAAAGAGTTTTGGGGTTCATCAGAGTTACTAGTGGCTGTAGAAAGGTGAGATGGAAGGAGGTATGGTGATGTACACCTGTAATCCCAGCACTCAGGAGGCTGAGGCAAGAGGATCATTGCAAATTGGAGACCAGCTTGGGCTACAAAGTGAGCTCAAGGATAGCCTGAACAGAATAGTGTGACCTTGTCTCAAAAAAAAAAAAAAAAAAAAAAAAAGAGATGTAAACAAGATCTCAAGCAACTAAGGGAAGAGTATGTGATAAGATAAGGAAAGTGTTTAGCGAGGTGAAGCCGTGAGAGAGAGAGATTTAAAAGTGGCTGGGCAGAATGGCAGACCCGTGTCAGCTGGCCAGAGGAGATGGTATATGTTTGAACGTGGTAACAGTGGGCAGCAGTCCTTCCCTCCCCGCCTCTTGTCTGAAACAAATCACCGGGTACCTGATGAGATGAGCCTGTGAATGTCTCCATGGCCCAGTGTGAGGCCAAGTCAGGAATTTTTCTGAATCATTTTTTAAAATTTGCATTCTCTCTGTCCCACAGGAAACATGGTGGAATGGTGCTTACCTCAAGATATTGATCTCGAAGGCGTTGAGTTCAAGTCTATGGCCAGTGGGTCCCATAAAATCCAGTCTGATTTCATGTAAGTACTTCTGAACACAAGGCTTATACCATTTCCTTCACTCCCACTCCCGGCATCTTTTCCAGAGACTGAGAGCTCTTATCAGAGGATTCTGCAGGTAAAGTGTGTGCAGATGATCTGAGAATGCAGTGTAGTTCATGTTTGTATCCACTTGCTAGCAAAAAGGGCTCTAGCTTTCAAGTTCTTAGTGGACTTTATGACTTAGAAAAGTTCAGAACTCTTACCATGAAGCTTCTTCTACGTGCTGAGAAATTATGTGGCCTTCACTTGAGGAGTGGTTTTAATAAAAGAGTGCACTTATAGCTCAGTTGCCCAGGTGGGGCTTTAATTTAAGACCCTCCTGTGTCAGCCTCCCAAAGTGCTGGAATTACAGGTTGCACCACCATGAAGTCTCAGCTTTTAAACAAGGGCAGTTTTGGATCTTGCATAGTTAGTGCCTTGTGAGTTTTGTAAGGAGGAGCAAATGGAAAAAACCTTTGGGATAATTTCGTACCGTTAGCTTCCTCATTGGGCTGAAACCATGAGATACAAGTGGGAAGAAGGAGAAGGGAAGAAAATGACAGCTGTAGAGAATGTCAGAGACTCAGGAAGTAGGAGAAGAATCATGGAGGTTTATGCTAAGAAAACACTACTCATTCTGGAGAGGGTTAGAGGGGAATCTTGGTTCTGGCTCTGACTATCCCTGTCATAAGCTGTGGTGGAGGAGGAGGAGAGTGTGTCTGTGGTCGTGGGCAGTTGGGTGGCAGGGTTGCAGGATCTCAAGTTCTAACTCCTGAGAGGTGGCCTTCAGCTGGTGAGTTTCCTACTCCTGAACCTTGCCTGTTATCTATGAGGTTCAGCGGTTTAAGACTGAGCTTTGTTACTCAGAGCTGTGCATACAGTTCATTTGTATTTTGTTTCGTTTGAGGGATTGCATTTTAGTGAAAAACAAAACAGGGTTTTCTTCCTGATTTTGAGCCCAGTAGCTGTTTGTTTTTGTTTTTTTAGCTATTTTCGAAAGGGACCCTTCTTTGGCCTGGCCTGCTTTGCCAACATGCCCGTGGAGAGCGAGCTGGAGCGCGGTGCCAGGATGAAGTCTGTGGGCATCCTCTCTCCTTCCTACACCCTGCTCTACCGGTACATGCATTTCTTGGAGAACCAGGTTCGGTACGTGGCTTCCACGCACACGTGTGCAGGCAGCAGCTGAACAGGCCATATGGGGTGTGTGTGTGTGTGTGTGTGTGTGTGTGTGTGCGCACACATGCGTGCATATGTGTCTCTGAGACAGGAGTCAGGATCACAGCTGCTTCTCCAAGGGTGCCCTTGGTGATGGGTCAGTCCTCAGGTGATGTCCTTCATTTCAGCCAACAGGCTGTGAATACTTCGTTGTGCAATGAAAGCTGGGGCAGATTCGTGTTTTCAGGTTATATTAATATCGTCATCACTTTCGTTTAACTAAAGAATTTGTTTCCATGTGCATGATCTTTGTTTACCCTAAGCCTCAGTAATTGCCTCCTTGTCCCAAATGGGCAAGCAGACTAAACTTTAATGCCTAATCACTCAGTATTTGAGGTAACAGGAAGAGCACCTTTAACAGAAGCAGCAAAACTAGTTCTTAGGCTTTGTTTGTTTAGTTTTTAAATTATGCAAGGAACCTACCTACACTGCAGATTATGAGGGGGAAAAGAATGTATCTTTAATTCCAGAATTACCGTTAAAACCATACCACATTTATCTCTTTTCTAAAACTTACGTTTATGTACTTTGAAAAAATACATTTGATAGCCACGTGTGGTGGTATGTGAGCCTGGGAATTTTTTCTTTTTGAAGCAAGGTTTCACTATGCAGTTCAGGCTGGCCTTGAACTCGCTTTGTAACCCAGCCTGGCCTGGGACTCACAGTATCCTCCTGCCTCAGCCTTCCAAGTGCTGAGTTTACAGGCATACAACACCATGCCTGGCTGAAGCCCAGGAGTTTGAGGCCATCCTGAGCAAAAGAGTGTGACACTATTTCAAAAAAAATACTTACACACACAACATTGGTATTATTGTATACAATTCATAACCCTTCTTTTTGGATTTATCATTATTTTAAAGCTTTTATAATATATCATTGGTCTTGATTATCACCTTTGGAAGAACCTAAAATTGTAGAAAAAAAAATTTTTAATTTACATGAAAGTATGAAAGGATAAAATCTTTCCAAATATTAATACTTAGACATCCATTGTCAATATCAGTATATCCTAGAGTGAATTGACTTTACATAAATAGGAGTAATAACTTATGAAAATTTTCTTCTTTGGGGCTGGGGATTTTAGCTTAGGAACAAAAGTGCCTCCCTGGCAAGCACAAGGTCATGCGTTGAATCCCCAGTACCAAAAAAAAAAAAAAAAAAAAAAAAGAAAAGAAAATTTTCTTCTTCAAATAGGCAGTTTTAGTGAACCATATTTAATATAATTGTACCTGGAGAGGTAAGAAAAACTTGAACTGTCCCATAAGTTTGCATGGTTATGTCCTAAGGCTGAGCATCTAGCATGTTTCTTTTTTTCTTATTTAGCACTGGGCATTGAACAAAGAGCCTTCACATTGAGCTATATTCTCAACTCATTTAAAAAAATTTTTTTAGACCAGGCATGATGGTACACACCAGTAATCCCAGCACTCTTGAGGCTAAGGCAGAAGGACTCCTACAAGTTTGAGGCCAGCCTAGACTGCATAGTGAAACTGTCTCAAGAAGACCAAACATTAATTAATTATTTAAAAAATATTTGAGACAGGATCTCAGTAAGTTGCCCAAGCTGGTCTCAATCTTGGGATGCTCCTGTCTCAGTCTCTCAGAGTAGAGATTATAGGTGTGTGCATTACCAAGCCCAGCTTTAATGAGTTCTATGTATTTTTTTTAAAGCTGTTTCTCTATGTTTGTGAGCTATAGTAAACACCTTCACGTATGTATTTTGGTACTTGAACTATTTCTTCAGTTGGTTTTTAAGAAATAACATGTAGATTTTTTGTTTTGTTTTTATTTTGTTTTTTGAGACATGGTCTCACTATGCAATGCAGGCTGGCCTTGAACTCGCTTATGTAGCCCAGGCTGATCCATGTGCTACCATGACTGGCACAGAAGTTTTAAAAAGAATATATTTATTAAAATCCTGATACTTCAAAAATTATTTAACAAAAATTAATTTCCCAAATAGGTAGTACATTCTCATGGCTCAAAAGCCTAACTGTAGGGGCTAGAGATTTAGCTCAGCAGCATAAGTGCCTGCCCTGCAAGCAGACAATTGTGAGTTTAATCCCTGGTATCAATAAAAAAAAGGAAAAAGACAAAAAAAAAAAAGCCTAACTGTATGGAGGGATTATATTAAAATTCTGACTAAACAGCAGTATGGGAGGCCAAAAAAGATAAGAGGATTTTCTGTCACATAGTACTAGTTAGGCAGGTGGCCAGGCTGGGTAGCTTGCTTTGTACTTCTGATTGTTCAGGAACCCATCTCTTCTCATTCCCTCACACCCTGAGAGCATTTTTGTATTCTAAGTTATTCCTGTCCAACCGCTCACCACTACCACGTCTGCATTCCAGCCCACTGGGAAGGGGAAAGAATGGAAATTGTGTTCCTCACTTGTCATCATCTAATGTCCAGTCCTCAATCACAAAGGCACACTTTCCAGCAGAATAGGAAACCTCATCTCTCTGTAGGAAAGTCTGGGAACACAGAAAATTCTAGGGTTTGGCTTATAAACTGGAAGAAGAAAAGTGGATTTTTAGGGGAGTAAAAAATCACCTCTGCTTCTGGCAGAGGCCGCCCGGTATCTTGGAGACTCAGAGCCTCATCAGCTGCTGCCTCCAGGCTGAAGTCCAGCATTCTGTGAGACAGGCAGCATCCTTTGTATTAGACCGAGGCGTGGCTCCTCTTACCCTGAAGACTCATAAAACAAGGGACAAGTTTCCCGTTTTCTACCTCTGAAATGCCATACAGAAGGTGAGGAGGAACCACAGTATAAGTTGCTATTTGAAAAAGCGAGATGGACAGAGAGAAGCAGTCTTTATTTGCTTGCCATAGCAGCATTCTACTGAGTGCAGATTGTGAAGATTTGTCCTGGCAGCCCAGTTTGCTCCTGGCTGCACCCTGGTGCTGTTGTGTGGATCCCCTTGTCCATTTCTCTCTGTGGCTCCTGAATTTGCTGTTTAGGAGGCGCTTTCTCTGTCTTCCTCCAGAGCTACATCTGCAGAGGTCTAGCAGAACAGCTGCCCAGCTGCAGAACACACTTCCTACAGGGGAAGTTGTGGGTCTCATATTTTCTTTAGGACTTGGAAGTGCACAGGCTTTTATAGGCGAGGCATATTGACGGTGTATATCCCTCAAAACTAAATTGGCTTCCCATTGTTCACTTCAGTCATTTCCAGGTTTCCACCCCAGAGATCAATTTCAAGTCATATGTTTTAAATTAGTGGGCTCTATAGAGTTTAATGTCCTGGATATCTGTTTGAGTCTGTTTTATGAATTCCATTTCTTTCCTATGTTGGGCGTTCATGGTTTCCATTATTTTCCTAGGTGCCTCTATTTTTTTTTAGGTCTGTATCTGCCCTAATGTCATCTCTGTAGTTATCTGAGAAATTATTTCTGATTTGATTTTTTCTAGAGCCTTATTCATTTGCTTTGCTGTTACCACTTCAGAATCTGGCTTGGTGACTTTCAAACTGTTCCTCCTCGTTGCCTCCTGGGTTTGCCTTTTGAGAGGTGGATGTCTAGAGTTGCATGTTATTTGACTGTTTTCGTTTTTTTGTTTATGGTACTGGAAATTGAACTCAGGACCTTGTGCTTACCAGGCAGGTGCTTTTACTGCTGAGCTATATTCTTGGCTTGTATTTTTTTAAATTTAATTTCTGGGTTGATGCTTATAAATTGCCTATCGTTAGTAGCTTTATTGGTCATATTTAGAACCTTTAAGAAATGGCTACTTCTTAGAGTCTTCCTGGTATAGCTGGCTTTGGGTCTTGAGTCTGTTGCAAGCTCCTGCCTCTTCGTTTTCTATTTCTGTATTTTCCCCCATCCCTTCTTAAATTTTCTCCCCTGACATATAGGGCTGACTTGCTGCATCTAAGTTCTAGTTCTTTCACTCTGGCCTGTAGCCTTTTTTAAGATTCTTAACCAATCTCAGTCTTGCCATACCAGGAAGAACAACTGGCTAGAACAATCATGTCATTTTGGCTAAAGTGGTACAGTCAGAAAATGAAAAAACTGAGTTAACTATTGATTTGCCACCTTTAGCCATATGTACTAGATTTATCGTTATATCACAAAATGTAAAACGTACCATAAAATTAGATGCAGCAAGTAAGCCCTATATGTCAGGAGAGAAAATTTAAGAAGGGATGGGGGAAAATACAGAAATAGAAAAAAAAGATGAGATTAGGCAAGGGCAAGATGAGCAAGGGCAGAGGACAAAGGAGGATCACACAAACTTCACAAAACTGATAAAGAAGGCAGGAGGGAAGAAATAGAAACCAGAACAGAACAACAACAAACTAGAAACCATGTTCACATTCATATAAAAACAAGAACAAACAATGAAGAGAAAACAACACAAATAAGAGAGAAAATAAAGAAAAAGTGTCCACTTCAAAGTGTGTCTGCTGCCACTGGAGGACAGCATGGGCAGGCAGGGTCCAGCTCTACATTAATCAATCCCAGCAAGCCAGCAGCAGCTCCAGAATGGGGTAGTGGAAAATCCCAGTGAGCCTGTACCCCAGTTTCCACTGAAGTTCAGGCTGGGTTTTGGATGGGAAGCTGGAACCAGACCCACCCAGCCTACAGCAGTCCCCAGGTCTTCTGTGGCCTTGACATGGGCTGGGAACCGCTAGGTGGAGCTAGCGGCCACATAGGTCCAGCTCAGTTGTCCTCTCTCCAAGATAGCTCCTGGCCAACTACCCTCTCCTGCTGGAAGTCCCAATGGGAACAGCTTGCCACCAGCTGCCGCAGGCCACTGCTGTACTCCACTGGTGTGCTTCACCATGGAGGCCTTAGGGTCACTAGCAGTCACCAGGCATCTGCAGGTTCAAGCTGCCTCTCTCACACAGTGTGTCTCGGCCCAGGATGAGAGCATCATCTGCCTTTTGTTCCTCCTCTGTTGAAGTTTTTCTCTTTGCTCTTTCCAGGGGCT